GTTCTTTTTGAAATTTTTAGAAGGGTATGGGCTCTTTTGAAATTCTTCTCAGAAGTCCTCTGGAATTATTTATAGAACTCTTTTTTACTTTTACTCAGAACACCTTGGAACTGAAATTACCTTAGAGTTTCAGAAGAAGTTCCTCAAAAAAATGTTCCTAGAATGAGATAAAAATTATCGGTACTCCCTTGAAATTTTCCTCAAAATCCTTTTGGAATTTCACTCCAAATTTAATTTTCTCGGTATTCTTTTCGGAATTATCCAGGAACTATCTGTAGAATTCACTAGAAATTACATGCAGAATTTTCTTGGAATACTCCCCAGAAATCTTTTGGAACTGTCCTCAGATTTCAATATCCTTGAGGTTCTTCTCGGATTTTTTTAGAACTCTCCTAAGAACTCTTTTGAAATTCTTCTCAGAAGTCCGCTGGAATTATATTTAGAACTCTTGGTGATTTTTTCTCAGAACACATTGGAACTGAATGAGCTAGAAATTATCCTCGGAAGTCGCTTGAAATTATCTGCAGAACTTTCTTTAAATTCTCCCCAGAAATATTTTGGAACTGTCATAATAATTCAATATCCTTGAGGTTCTTACCGGAATATTTTAGAACTTTTTTTTCCTCAGAACACCTTGGAACTGAAATTCCCCTAAAGTTTCAGAAGAATTTCCTCTGCATTTTCCAGAAAGTCTTCCCAGAATGAGCTTGAAATTATCCTCGGAACTCCCTTGAAATTTTTCTCAACATCCTTTTGGAATTTCATTAAAAATTTAATTCTCTCGGTATTCTTTTCGAAATTATCTTGGAACTATCTGCAGAATTCACTAGAAATTATTTGCAGAATTTTCATGGAATCATCCCCAGAAATCTTTTCCTTTAGAGCTGTCTTCAGAATTCAATACCCTTGAGGTTCTTCTCGGAAATCAAGTTTAAGTTGTCCGCCCATTCACCAGATCGTTGTAGTTTTTCTACCATAAATGTTCGATTAAGCTTGCCCCTCCATTCACCAGAACTGTGCCATTTTTACATCAGGCAGATTGTTGCAAATCTTACACCAGAAATTTTCAATACAAACTTGTCACTATAAAATTTCAATTGATCAGAACGATGTAAATTTACCACCGTTAATGTTCAATAAAAATTGCTTCTCCAATCTTCTGATTGGTGCAGATTTCCTTTTTCCATTTTCCACCAAACATTTTCAATATAGCTTGCTTCTCCTTTCAGCAGAATGTTGCAGGTTTTCCACCAAATAAAACTTGCCCCTATTTTTAGATTTTTCATCATACATTTTCAGTAAAGCAGCTTCCCTCCAATCATCAGAATGGTGCAAATTTTACACCAGTAATTATTATTAAAGTTTGTTTCTCTATTCAGCACAAGGGGTAAGCCAACTGTACTCAGAGTTAATATTTTTGCAGCGAGTAAATTTGAGTGACTCATGATTACTCAAAGTTGATCAAAGTAGTTGCACATTCATCAACAAATAAGAATGAAAAACTGTTTTAATAAACATCAACTGTCAGAGTGATCTTTTTCGTAATATTTTCATATTTTGATACTAATGTTGACCAGGCAAATTTAATTCATTTACAGCACATTAGTCAGATATGCTCAGTCTTGAAAAAATTGTATGTTCAGCTTGTGTGACGTTCAGATTATCCCATCCAAATGAATCAATTCACAAATCCGTCTAAACTGCTGCGAAACCGTGTGAGGGTCGCTACGGGATATTTTAGTTTGGATAGGATGATTAACTTGGAGAATTGTAGAGTCAAGCGGAATCCTTTAGGTAAGAGTGGACAATAAAATAGTAAACTAGCTAGATAGATATATAGCTTCACAGAAGATGCCATTAACAGTGAACTCGTTGTCGAAACATCCAGAAAGGTGGACGTTTTAAGCAAATTTAGGGTCTACAATTTTAACTGTAAATTACACCCTCCCCTTGGCTAGTTCTTGCTCCTTGCTGTTGGTGGGCGGGCTTAATTTCATGCTAGTGGAGTATTGGAGACGGTAGGTTTATGGTCGGCGTTGCTGGCTCATGTCGCGATAGAATGGCGTCATGGGCAGGCAATGGGGATTACTAAGCTTCCCCTCTCTGATAAACCACTGCATAAGAGAACCAAAGATCTAGTCTAGCAGTGATAGTATCACACTTGTTACTCCTTTAATTAAGAGCCGCGTCGTAGTACGCTTACGTATAGGCACTGACGTTGGGTGTGATACTGGCGGGTTTTGCCGCAAATCACTCTTATTTTATTTATGTTTGCGCAGATAGATTTATTTGGGTTTGCAAAGGGAATTATACTATTGAAATATTTCAGAAAGTGCCCAACGGTGCTCCTTCTATTTGCGTGACAAGCTTTCATTGAAACAATGTTAAACATCATTTTTGTACATGGTATTCTAACTTATCTTATATGTGCTTCATTTTGATTTGGGATAAGTGTTTGAACTATGGCTCGGGATTTCCACTGTGGTGTGCTTCTACTGTGACATACCCATATGTATTTTTGTGGTGCCACATAGTGGAAACGTGAGAGCGTAATTGGAACATTTACCCTATACAATATACAATTTAAAATTAGCTTGGAAACTAACTTCAAAGTGAAGCATTTTAGTCACTTGAAGGTGTCACCTGGGACGAACAAAGATATAATTAATATATGTCAAAGCCAGAAGTACTTGAAACACGTTAAATTTTAGTTTAAAAGCATGGGTTATGATTGTGTAGGTAGATTAGAGATTTCAGTTATTTATTAAATAAGCTTCAATTAGAGAATTCAGAAAGTTAATTAACATAAGAGATAGGACGCGGGGGGTCCGCTTAGGGAGGTGACTAGCCTATGAAGTTGTATAATAAATCTTCCTATTTAGTGTATTTGTTAATTACAGACAATGTCAATAGCGAAAGTCATATCTTCAACCAGGCACATACGAACAAGTGAAGTTTTAGGAAAGATGTGTTAAATATGTTGATAGGTTTGAAATAAGAATTAGGATTGTTGTGCTTTAGGTTTCGGTAAGGTATGATGTGTCAACAAAACCCTTTTGAGCAAATTTTCAAACATCAAATTGATTGAGTGATTTATTAAAAGACATTGCGTTGCGAAAATTGACAAGTCATACATCTAACATAGTAGTAGTAGCAGTGTCGCATAATCTTATCACAATTGCTGCAAATAGTGCTGGAGGGGCCGGCAGGGCTGAATACGGATCAAAACTAACATAACTATTAACACTAAAATGATCCCGGAACTAACACTTATCCATTGCACTTTTAGTTATATATTAGTTTTATTTTTCTACTAAGTCATCTATGCTTCTTTCTATTGTTTGGATCAAGTACAACTAATACTAATCTACCTTTATGTATGTTTTACTCCCTTTTAACCCATTATCTTTATGAATGGCGAATCATATGACGTGAGACACGTCCAAGCTGGAACTCAAAGAATTACTTCGAACAGGATATCAAACAAATTCAGGACCAATCCAAATGAAACCAGAAGTCAACAAGGCATCGGGGCGTTATATACTCGGAGAGGTATTTGATAAATAATCAAAAAGTTGTAAGTTAAAATCATAGTGGAGCCAAGGATCATGAGAGGTAATTGTCAATAATTCATTAATTAGTAGAAATCTCGATAACTTTTTCAAGGGAGCGTTTCGGCTTTTGTAGGCGGTGCGTTTGGTCGTCGATTTGGCGTAACTGGTGGCTCGCCCGCGCGTGCTGGCATTATCATTAGATAGGGGAAATTTTCATAGACACAAGTTGACACAATCACCCTTATTCTTGTTTACGGCCGTATCCGACTTTCGTTCGAACGACTCGATTCGAACGAGTTCGAAAACGGCATTCTTATTTTCGTTCGAATCTGTTCGAACGAGATCTTTTAAGATCGTAAACAGTGTTGGTGCTACCAGATGTACTTAGATGTTTCTGAACAATTCGAAACATAGAGCTAGCACGGATTTGACATTTCTCGGTTAATCTAATTGTCAAATTGGTGTCAACAATGATGTTTTGTATTTCTCAACAGAGTTTTCACGTTCAATCTGCGCACAGCGTCGTTCGTTAGAGCTGGCCGAGCACCGTTTGTTTCACAAACAATACAGATGTAACATTTGAAAACGGCTCAAAAGCTTTTGAAAATTAAAGTTGTAAGGTCCTCTCCACGCGAATCAAAGAATACCTGTAGACGCAAACCAATACCACTATCGGAAAGGTGAGAATTTCTCCTACCCAATGATGTTGTTGGTTTGCGTAGGCATACTTCTGTTCGCGTGTAAACTGCCTTACAATTTTTTTTACAAATCTGTTGTGCCGTTTTCAAATGTTATGTGAGAATAGACTTCACTACCACCGTTATTATTAGCTCGATTATTAGTGAGTGGTTATATTAATAGGGTATATGCGTTTTACTGGTTGAATATTAAAAAAAAAAATAAACAACCACTGTCAGGCTGGATTTGTGGTTAAAAATAATAAATAAAACGATTTTACACGGCTGAAATGACATGTTTGTATTCGTGATACCTGCGAGAACTCAATGGAAAGACCACAGGACGGAAAGTGGTACTTCGGACTCGTTAATTTATTTTTTATTTTTTTCTTTATTATCGTGATTTTTAGCCGTGATGTTTCATCATGTAGGAGATAAAATATGTAAATAAAGTTTGTCTTCTTGATTATTCATTGTGTCTCTTTCATTACATAATCCATAAATCATAAAAAAATTCTTAAAGAAAAATCCTAGCTTGACGGTTTCTAAGAGTGAGTACTTTGTACCCATTTTTAATGTGTAAAAAATACCAAATGATTTGACGTAAAAGATTTGGGTACTTTCCAGTTACAGTGTACAGATTGTTTGTTAGAGTTTTGTTTTGTCAATTTCTGTTGGTTATTTTTGAAAACGCGTCAGCGTCGATTCATTCTCTAAAATATTCAGAGAATGACTAGTGAGGTTGTGATTTCCTTTCTAACACCGAAAGATGGATACCGTAATGCTGGGTTATATTGCATTGACGGACAATCGTCAATCACTAAGAAAACAAAGAAGTAATCTTAGAAAGAAAACCGATATCACGAGTTTATCAGAAACAGAGTAAGTTTTGACATTTATTTCATAGAAATAGCTTGAGATTGCTTTTTAACGCTCAATTTCAGATTAACAAAGAACTTTTGTTTAAATAAAGTAGCATTTCAGTACGTTATTCAGGAGATTCGAGACGAATTTCCTGCTCAAAGGCATGGCGGACTATCGGTAGAGGACAAACTTGCTGCATGCTTGAGATTTTTTGCAGAAGGGAGCTACCAGCATGGAGCTGGCAAGGACTACGATGTAGCCATAGCTCAATCAACATTCTCTAAAGTGCTCAGTGAAATGCTGGTTATCCTGGAAAGAAAGATTTGCCCTAAGTGGATAACATTTGCTATGACGGATCAAGAAATGAGGGAAGCAAAACGAAATTTTTACGATAAATCGGGAATACCAGGAATCATAATGTGTGTAGATGGCACACATATCAGAATTATCCCCCCAACTTTAAATCGAAACCTGTACTACAACAGAAAAGGATTGTAAGTAAAAAACATGGAAAATTTATGTTTAATTTATTAAAAACGGGAATCTTGACACAGATGTGTGATCATACACAGCGTATCAGATTCATCGATGCCAGCTATCAGGGCTCTAATCATGATTCTCATATTTGGGGATTAAGTCCAGCCCGAGCACATTTGCAAGACATGCATAGAAACGGTGATACCAATACCAAAATTTTGGGTAGGCTTCAAACATGTTTATGAACTTGTATGATGTACTTAATCTACGCAATTTTTTTGCAGGTGACGCCGGTTACCCCTCTGAGCCGTGGCTGATTACGCCTTATCGAGCTCCAGAGCCAGGAAGTCCTGAATGTGAATTTAACAGTAAACATAGTTTGGCAAGGGGAATAGTTGAGAGAACAATTGGTGTCCTGAAAAATCGGTACCGTTGTATTTTTGGTGCCCGGCAACTTCATTACTCACCTAAAAAGCATCGGAAATAGTTAACGTTTGCTGTGCCCTACACAACATTTGCTTGAGTTTTATAAACAAAAATGACCGATTGAATAAAACTAATCTATTCTAATCATGCAGTTCATTTTAATCTGAATTTAAATCAGACCATTATCGGAATTTCTAAAGCTTAAAAGTGTTAAGCTTTAATACGGTCATATAAGCGGTACTACTACTTCTGGATTGTAATAGCATTTTTACCAAATGTACTAGAATATTTTGGTTCTATCTCTTTCACTCTACTCAAAACTGAAATGCATAATCAAAATGACAAAATGATACACTCTTTGCACACTGTCAAAGATTGATTGCACACAAAATCACCTTTGTTCAAATCAAACAAAAATACTAGCCCATCTGTTGGGTGATGGCATAAGCTTTTAAGAAAATTCTATTACAGAGAATCACATTATTTTAGTTGTTTTTTGCCAGTTAGTCGTCTGTCACTTCGTTTGTGGCACTACCCACTATAGTGTACTCAACAGATGGCGATTATGTTTTACACTGAGAAATATTGAATGTGTTATGTCTGTTTGTTGTGGTACTACTATAGTACCGTTTTAGTTTTTCAATTAATGAATGAATTGAATAAATTCAACGTTTTAGGTGTTTTTAATGAATCAACAAAACTGGCCGACACGTGACCTCAGACCTTAAAGAGTTACTCCACATAACAGGTTAGGCCTTTAAGCGGCGTCTCCACAGGAATTCGGAGTCTCATGATTTTATAGATTTCTGCAACATGTATGAGATAAACTACTGTAAGCATTCAGGGCATAACAGGTTTTTATTTAATTGATTGCTTCAGAGTCTGATCAAATACAAAGGACATGCATCTTACTGCAAACGACTTAATTCAAGTTCCAGGATTCTCTGTTTGACTTTAAGTTTATCCAGCGTGATTTTTTCCAAGGCCAAGTTGTGCCTTCTTTGTTCTTTGACATTTTCACTCAAAACTTTGTGAATGTCAGTCAATCGCTTAGAGATCTGCCGGTTGTAGTGTACTAAATCACCCGACCTTTTGCTGTACGATTTCAATGCATCTGTAACAGAATCATGAAATTTTCTTTGATTGTCCACCTGCGCGTCCAGCAAACTGTGAATGGAAATCTTCCGCTTCTTATGTGGTGTAGAATCTTCGTTGGGGTCGTTATCCTCATCCGGGATTTCGTTTTCTTCATTTTCGACATTACTGTTGGAGGATGCATCCCGATTTTGCTGCTCCGAAGTAGACCCGAGCCCAAAGCTAATAGAATCGTCGATGCCCTCAACTGCTGGTACCAGCCCCGCCAGTGCGACAACACGCTCCTCCAGTCCACTAAGCTGAATTAGCTTACTAGGACCTCCTCCTGTAGCCAGCTGCTCACGGCGGTTGTGAGCTAGCTAGCGCTTGGTATTCGACTTGAAATCGAACCAAACCTAAAGTAAAAACATAAGAAGCACTATTTCATATTTATCGATACTTAATTAAATTAATCAGTGAATACCTTTTTCCAAGCCGTTGAATCCCTAGTAGGTGGTCCAAGACTGTTGAGTTCTGAGGCCACGGCTCCCCAAAATGGTGCAGTATTAAACTTGGTGAAGCCTTTAGCAATATCCGGTTGGTCTTCCAATAACTCAAGAAGTGTATTAAACTGCTCCTTATTAGTACTTTTACTTTTTGACGGCTTTGCCCTAAATGAAAAAGAAATTTGGTTGAAAATGGAATTAGGGAATGAATCTATTTCATTGCATTTTTTTTGTACTTACATCGTTGCAAAATTGCGGTTACGCACAGGGAAATTCACGGAATGTGAATCACAAAATGGAGCTGGTTGCTCTGCTTTTTCCTTTTTTTACAGGTGCAGTGACAAAGATGGTCACGACGAATGATGGTAACTGGATTCTCACTATTTTCAGGCTACTTCGTAGAGTCCGGTGCAAATCTGATGATTCCGACTGCAGCACTAACCGAAATTTTGGAAACTTTCTTCTTACCTGAAACGTAAAACACATCCAATAACCACTTTCGATTTTGCGATTCGCGAGTTCCGAGTGACGTTTCTCTGGTTGACAAAAAAACACGTTCGAACGAAAATGGGAATTGGAAAATTCGTTCGAACGAACGATGTTCGAAAAATTTAATGGTTCGAATTGGTTTGAACGAAAACAGGAATACGGTGAATAAACAAGACAAGTGGGGGTTAATACACAAGACAAAATGACAAAATAAGTGACGACAGAAGACAAGACTGGGACAAAAATCAATCTTTTAAAAAAACAAGTATGCGCAATTATATTATCAAAACTATTTGGATCAACACAAAAACAACAGTGACCAAAAGAGCACCATAGCCTAGGAACGTCTGTGTGTTGATTTAAAATAGAGGCTCATAGAAGCAAAATTTATCAATAAAAGGGGTCCAGTGTAGAGTTTAAGCAAGTTGTTGCCACTGTGATTACCACAAAAAAAAAAACAATTTTAACTGTAAATTACAGTAATTCAAATTACATTGATCAAATTTATGAAGAAGGAAACTCAATATCCTTCTTGAGTTTCCTTCTTTATTTGAATTTACCTAGCATAAAATTTTGAATAAACAAATATGCCTAGACGATGAAAAGCTTCTTTTCCATCGATTTCGTGACAAACTTACTAGAAAATGGAATTTCTTTTAATTAATATTCCAGAAAATTAATTAATTGATCTTTATTGGGGAGGCTTTCAGCCTGGGGCTGGTTCGCCTCCATTTCCAGAAAACCATGTGAATCAAAGATGTGAATCAGGCATTCCTAAATAAATACAAAGGCTATTTTCTTAGTACCACTAAGCTATAGTCGTTATGATGCCACATGATGTTATATTAGAGAGGTAACGGGTTGCCTACAACATTTTTTAAACTATTTTCAATGGAAAGGCTAAATCTATGCTAAAAACTATAACCAGGGGCATTACCTAGAATAAAACAAAGATTTTTTTTATATTACTCTGTTAATGATATTATGACAATTTAATTTACTATTATTTGAAACGTTGCATGCGTAATAGAAATCCAAGCATTTTACTTGGATTTCTATTACGCATGCAACATTCTAAGCTACGATTACGATTGGATATTTTTTACTATAAATTAGGACATTTTTAACGTTAATTATTGGTAATCCATAATAGCAGATAATTTAGGTTTGTGCACTTTCTTCGATTATCGGTAGTTTTTAACGATATCTAGGTATTCTTTACCGACTTTTAGGTTTGTGCATCTTAGCGTGAATCTTCTCCATGTTAAACAAATAGTTAAAGAACGATTATTTGTTGGAAAGAACTACATAAGGGACTGATAATAAACTATCTATACACTTAAAATGGGTGATTGGCCACGCAGCGGAGAAGGAGTCTACGTATTCCATGGACAGGCCTCAAACAAAACCATCTTAGTTTGCATATTTCTGAGTAATCCTTGAAGATGTGCAGAAGAATCAACCCACTGACCACACTAAAGCATTTGTTGTCCCCACAGTGTTGACTTTTGAGAGACTAATCTCCGCTTTTCACCGCAAATAACGTCTCAGACGGGCATTTCCACTTTGACACAAACTAATGATGGCTTGAATGCAGATTTGTCCATGTCTCATTCTGATGCACTTTATAGAAACCGATTTAAGTCTAAAGAAAACAACTCCCCCTAAAAGCGGCCTCGTGTGCCACATTAACCAAGATCACCTGTCTGAAACGTGACTAGAAACAAAAGGACTCGACTCGTCGAAGGATGTTGTTTTAGGAGCAGCTCTCACACGGGAAAAAAAGAGTTCCCATATTCGTGAACCACAGCCGTGAACCATAGTTCACGGTGTATATTTGAGAAAATTTTGTTCTGGATAGCTGGCCGTGATTTTTAGTTCACGGTCCGTTCCCGTTTTCGGGAACGGATTTTTTTCCGAGCACTCGTTTGCTTCCAACAACCTGTTCAATTTGCTCGGACAGCTCCCAGCCAGCAGCCGGTTGTTTTCCTAGATGATTTGCATCGTTTAGCCAGAAATCTCCGTAGAAGAAGGTCTGAAGGCTGCTTCAGGTGGTGCGAGCTGTTTTTATAAAGGATTAAGCGACCGATCGTCCGCTGCGTCGTCGTCCTGGGGGAGGTAGTAACCGGCAGCACACATCCTGACACCTTTCGAACCGTTTGCGTTGCTGTTCGAAGTTAATCGTTGTCGAGTCGAGACAGTCCAAACAAAAGATCACAGGTAGATTAGACTGGTTGGGAATCATCCAGGAAGAGGAGTGTTGTTTTTTCAGCTTAAATAAAGACCACTCATTAGCCTCGGAGGGATGGAAGCCGATGGGCGTAAACAACGCATTTGGGATTGAGCTGTCGCCAGGATTCCAAAAACGGGTGTTGAACGTTCATCCTCCAACCATTGCCATCTACAATCAAGGGAAAAAAAAAGTAATCTATACGAGCACACTTCCTTCTCACGCAATCATAAAATAAAAATCAAAACCACGACGAAGTGATGATGCAGAACGACTTCCACCCAGAGAGATGATTG